TATATTAGTATCGTACTTTGTTATTCATGATGCATGACATGACATAATATAACAAAACATAACATGAGCCGACAAAACTAGACAGCCTTGAACTATATTTGGCATCAATTGGACTTAACCGAGATTTGTGTAAATAAGACAAAAATTTCAATATTTTAAGAACCCTCAAATTGTATTCCAATTTTATGGAGGAGACACTTACCACAACTTGTTTCCTAACTCCTTTAACAAGGGCAGCACCTCCGGAAGCAAAGTTCACCCCGTGAAGTAAGTCTCCCGTAAGGTTGGAACTATGTACAAGGAGTGCAAGAAATGGTGGCGGACTTTCTTTGTAGCCACCCAAAAGTGCAACTGCACATAAACGTAATAATTATCTTAAACTTGTTTATTCATAACATGGGGGTAAATTGTGAAGTACCAAAAATATTTTTTGGCTTTCCAGGTTTTGAACCCTAGGAATTTGCTCCCAACACATATGTAATATCCCAAATGCACGTACCTAGATATTATCCGTTTTAAGAAACACAACATTGGGACACCTAGACTTCCTGAGGGGTCACCCATTAAGGTTTTGTAATGTATGTGAAAATGAATATCTTACCGACACAATCAGCAGGGTTTAAGCCATTGCTGAACCTTCCGGTTGCTATTGAATGTGGATAATCGACCCCGTAATATGGGTGATTGACTTGTGCGGTGCAGTTTTTGAGATAGTTGTTTGTGCCAACATCTACTATTGAATCCCCGAATATGAATATGGGTCCCACGGTTCCACTCGCTGCATCCTTTGTGGCTATTGTTGTCACACTCAAAAGGAGTAGGCATATTTTGAACAGCATGGGTTTTTGAATTGTTAATGGCGTGGCCATATTTATTTGGTTAGTTTGTGAATGAAGAGGGCAAGTACTTGTAGAAGATGGAGCCTTCTGGATCTAGAATGTACAAGGGGAAAAGGTTAAAAGAGTATTGGCAATGAAGATTAAATACGTTGTTTATATCAATTACCTTGATCATTATCCTAGTTTATAACCAAAAATATACCATGAACTGTTTCTAGTTTTTTGGTGTGTTTAAATTGAGCTATTTGTGTGTGTTTTACATGGTTAAAAACAAAAAACTGATGCTAACATGTACATTACTTATATTTGGTATGTTATCAAATTTAAGCTCGACTAACATCGAGCTAATTTGCCATCACAATTTATTTTAGACGTGACAATTGCAATTAAAAGTGCTCAATTACTTTTATATGACACTTTGTCTTGATTTGAAATTGTTCATGCTTGATTTAGAAACACATTTTGACAGCTGAATTTGAAGATTTGGAACAATGTATACTTTTTTATTACAAGATATAATAGAATTTATTACGAAATGATGGTGTTTTCGTCTACAAACAATGTTTTGAAACATATATTCCAAGTAATCAAGGGAAAAAAAGGTTCGTCTACAATCAATGTTTAGAAACAAAAAATATATGAATTTAATCACATTTCTATAGCAGGATGGAAAATGTAATCTACATCTACTATCTCCTTTCCTCCACTACACATTTAACGAATCTACAGCCAAAATAACCATATGATCTTGACATTTAACAAATTGACTACCAATTTTACAATTGATTAGTTAATTGCCAAATTGTTTTATGAATGGTATCTGCTGCAAAAACTTCCAAAATAATTATTCATATTTTTCGCAATTTTTTATTTTTATTTTTATCTTTATTTTTTGTAGCTTTTTGTCGGTAAAAACAACTAGTGTAATACCCGTTTAGTGAACGAATAGGCCGATAAATAAATCATCATTCATTGTTTATATAATCTTACTGTCTATATAATTGATGTTGAATTACATGGAGCACCAATAGTTTTACATCTACATTTCAAGTCTATTTAGTACCGAATGTCCAAATCACATCTATATAATTGATGTTGAATTACATGGAGCACCAATAGTTTTACATCTACATTTCAAGTCTATTTAGTACCGAATGTCCAAATCACATGGTACACGAACAATATTCACAAATGCATTCTTTCAAATGTATTCGAATCAAAAAGAATGTATTCAAATAAAAAAGACATGACCCAAACTACCTGAATGGCGTTGAGGATATGCAAAACATTCATTCTTCACACAACCAAAAATGAATGAAACCTTAAGAATATACGCATATGTACTTACTATTAAAAGTAAAACAATGATGTAAAAATATGGCATGAAAACAATACGATGACATTGAGGATTCTCAACCTTTTTTGTTGAGGAAGGATCGAGCACTCCAGAAGCTCTTATGTGTAAATAGCCTTGCCGTTAGTAACCATATATAAACAAAATTAAATATTTGTTATTTAGAAGAACTTGTATTTCCTATCATTGAAAACATGATTATATTTTCTAATAAAACTATTTTTTAACAGAATTATATATTAGAAATATGTGTTTATTGCTACATATAACACAGTTAAACAGATAGAAAAAAATATAATAGAATACGTAGGCGTTATGTGAATACCAAAGAAATAATATTTTAAGTTTATGATCATATAATAATTCATATACATGATGTTTGATAAAATCACATAATAAGTCAACTATTACTATATCATAAAGTAACTTTTAGATACATATGAGATAAATTTACAATTTTTGAAGCTACATTCTTGAGCCATTTCTTTTGCAAGAGTCCTATTATCTTAAATTTATTTGAAAATGCTAGGGTTTTCCCGTATTTTAAATATATGCAACAACTCCATTTTTATAATTTATAAGTTTGACCAATAACAACACCATAAGATATCTTATTTATGGTTCAATGACGTAGGTCTGTGAAGGAGGTGAGAACGGGGGAGAAGAGAAGTGGTGTACTGTGATCTAAGATTGATAGAAAGAGGGCGTTGGTGGTTTCCGGTGATGCTTGTTGCTAAATATGGTGTCGATCTTGAAGGTAGTGGTGGTGGCTAATGGAGGTTGTGGCTGCTAGGGGAAGGGTGGGGATATTTGTTTTATGTATTTATTTTTTTAATTTAATTACAAAGAAATAAAAGAAAATGAAAAAAAGAAATTATTAAGGGTAAGATAGTCATTTCATGTCCATCGGGACTAAGTGTGCAAGAAAAAAAAAACCCAAAGACGGTCCGAGTTAATTTTTGAAAATAGGGACTAAACACGCTTTCTAGTATATACACGAGGATGATTGATGTAATTTACCAAAAAGAAAAAGAAAACGTGACATCGTCAAATTTGTTAGTCGGAACAGAACGGTCAACTAGATCGAAAGAAATGATGACATAAATGACACAATTGAATACAACTTTTAAGAAACATATGACTGAAATCGTTCGACTCACAAAATTTTCGTTGTTGATGCAAGATGTGAGACACTTCGACCCCGAAGATCAGGAGACGACTAAATTAGTGAAACCATCAATTCCTGAAAAATATAAGCTAAAACACAATTGAAATTTGGATATTATGTTTTTTTTTTCTAGTTTTATTATTATTATTATTATTATTATTTAAATTTTCACTTTATGTTTTTATTTATTTATTTATTTATTTTTTTAGATTTTTAATGTAATTTTTAATTTCATATTATTTTTTAATTTTAGGATTTCTAAAATGTAATTTTTAATTTTATGTTATTTTAAATTTTAGTACGGTTTTTATTAAAAATTTAAAATTAAAAAAAAAAGTTTATACGAAAACAATTACCACACCCGTATATAAAATTGGGAAAATGACTTGTAAGGGTAACGAAGTATTAAATTTGTACAAAAAATACCATTGAACTTTTTTTTGTACACATATCACCAATCAACTATAGTTTTTGTACACGTATGACCATTAAACTTCACATTTGTTCAAAAAATACCATTATGTTACCGGTAATAATAGGTCACCAGTCACGTAACATGCCATGTGGCTGCTGACGTGGATTTTATTGTATATTATGTACACATTATACCATTAAACTATTTTTTATACACATCATACCATTAAACTTTTTTTCGTGTACATTTTACCATTAAACTTTTTGTACACATTTTACCATTAATATTATATAATTTATTCAAAAAATATCATTTCAAAAAATACATATTTTTACATAAAATGGGTTTTCCATCACCTATTGTGACTCCCTGATTTTGTAAGGTTTGGGGGAAACGGTTTGTTTTTTACAATGATACTAAGGACTTTCTTTTACAACTACATTGTGAATTTATGTTGGTCATACATTAATTGAAACCCACAAGGTTTGAACTTGAAACTTTTATCTGGAGCGGCGAAGAAATACTCAATTGTTCATTATTTTAGCTAATGTCTAGTAAACATATTCTTATAAGTCATTTTATAAGGAAACTATGTTTGAGGCACACTTATAAACTCATGAAACATTTTGTACATGTTACCTTATTATAATCCCCCTCTTCGTGATTATGGTTGATGATTAAAAAAGTGCATTGAAATTATGTCGTTGTTTACCGATAGGAAAATAACTTATAATGATACGTTTACTAAAATTTAGAAAATCAGTAAAATCCACATCAGATGATGGGAAACCTACTTTTATGTAATGATATGTATTTTTTGAAATGATATTTTTTCAATAAATTATATAATATTAATGGTAAAATGTGTACAAAAAAAAGTTTAATGGTAAAATGTGTACAAAAAAAAAGTTTAATGGTATAATGTGTACAAAAAATAGTTTAATGGTATAATGTGTACATAATAAATAGTAAAATCCATATCAGCAGCCATGTTACGTGGCTAATGACCTATTATTATCGGTAATATAATGGTATTTTTTGAAGAAAAGTGAAGTTTAATGGTCATATGTGTAGAAAAGCTATAGCTGATTGGTGATATGTGTAAAAAAAAAATTAAATGGTATTTTTTGTATAAGTATAATACTTTATTATCCTTACAAATCATTTTTCTATAAAATTTATATAACAAAAACTCACGTCGCAACTAAATAAAACCTTTTTACCATTGAAAAAAAAAAACATCACACCTACCATCCCGACCGCTGCTACCCTTTGATATATATGATCCATTTAGCTGCACCTGGCAACAGAATTTAACTTCCTATCATCAATCAAAAACCCTGCAACACCACATCAAGATTAAACCCCCCGTTTGCCAATTTCATCAAATCACTTTCTTCGTTAGCTTTCGTGAAATAGTCGTGTTTTGATGCTTATTAACGTAATAAAAATTTGAAATTATCGAGAAATAGATTATGGTGTTCTTGTCTTGGACTCGCCCTTCTCCCAAAGAGCAGAAGGATTGCATTAGCAAGTAAGATTTAAGCAATTATTTGCTTTATTTTGTGATTCGATATCAGTTCTAAGAATTTGAGATATTGTGGACTTCTTTTTCCTTGTTGGACTGTAATAGTAGACCAGTATGATTCGTTTTATAAAACCCTAATTTCACTAATATGTTTGCGTCTAATATGTTGGACGATATCCATCAGGTCAGGTACCTTCAACTATGACAGTAAATACAGAGGAGCTACTGTAAAACCATTGTCTGTTCTTAAAGAAGATAAAGAGCTTTCAAAAGATGGATTTTTAATCAATCATTCAAAAACTTTAGTGGGATCAGGCTCTGACGCATACGAAAAGGGCAAGACTGCTCTGCAAACTTGGAGGTTTGTTTACATCTTTACTATCTTCCAAATGAATTTGAAAATGAAGAGAATCTGATTGTGATTTTATTAAGATACACACAATTGATGGTTCTATTTTGGGAAATTTTAGGCATTTCGGATTGAGTTGGGCATTTGTTGATCCAAAGACACCAATTGAAAATGGGGTGAAGTTTTGTGCTTGTGTGAAGGAGTTCTTTCCATGGCTCAGGATGCCATTGCAGGTTGTTTATGTTAATGAAACTAGAAACCCTAAATTGGCTGTTTCTTCTTTTGGTTTTGGTGGAGGCACTCTCAGAGGACACTTACTGGTGTGTGTACTTATCCTATCAAAAACCTTATATTTATTTGTGTAAATCCATAGAAACCTTTTTAGAAGCATTTTTCTAAACTCTATATCAAGTTTCTCATTGAAATTTTGTTTAAACCAGTCTGGTGAAGAGCGGTTTTCAGTTGAGATGGATGAAGAGAAACAAGTTTGGTATGAAATACTTTCCTTCTCAAAACCAGCACATCCTCTCTCTGTGATTGGGTACCCATATGTATTTCTTAGACAAAAGTATTTTGCTCAACAATCTAGTGATGCAGTCAGAAAATTTGTATCCTCAAAGTAAACTCTACAACATTCTGCTATTATGAATTCACAATCTTTCATCCATGTTTCTGTTCTCTTTTATGTTTACAAGAAATGAATAGAATCCCCCAATTGTATGTTCACAATTTGTTATTGACTTGTGTCCTTGAGGGGTTTAAACTTTCTATTGAGAACTCATGAAGTAAAAACAGATACAACACCAATACCCAATAGAAGAAGGAGACGATTGCAAAAAAGATACAGTTGAAAACGGGTAAACACATAAATGACTACCATATAACATACTTAACCAATTTCGCAATTGATCAATAGTTCATTACGAAATTACTTTATGAAGGGTAAAACTGTGAAATTGTAAGTATTTTTGTCGGTAAAATGCAATTGACTATTTGACCAATTGTGAAATTGGTGGTCTTTGTGTTATTAGTAAAAAAGGTGGACAATCTTTTAAATGTCACATCATATAATGGTTTATCTATATGAGGTCATCGTAAAAACAAAAATAGATATAAATGCTAAAAGGTTGACAGCTCATATCCGCTGTAGTTTATTCATGAACGATATAAATAGAGTAGAAGATGCGACACACAATACAAATTAATGATCTTTTCATCTCCTTAGTTAAGATTCTAAAGATCAAGCCTTTCTCAAAGTGCTAAAATTGATTGGAGTCACAAAATTCGGATCTTCACCAAAAACCATCTCTTTAGCTGACAGTTTGGAGGCTGCCTGAGAAGGATGAAATGCATCCCAAAACAAGTGATTATCCCTATTTCCGCAAAGATACCCTCCTTCCTTGCAATCCTTTATTCCGTCTATTGAGTGATTCCCACAACATGCTGTTTTAACATCTTTAAACTCTGTGAAAACATGCCACTTTAGAGTCAGAAATATGCATGTGGGAAAAAAAAAAAACTAATGGTTTCGATTTACCAGGTGGGGGGTTTTCAATGACACTCATAGTCATATTGTATGAGTTTGCTAGTGAGTACTTGAATCCTTCGAGTGTAGAGCTCAAATTTTTCAAAAGGGATTTTAATGCTGTGTAGAACGTTGCAGACAAACCGTTAGATATCGGTCCACAATCACCACTACCGGTATATGCACGGGAAACTGGACAACATCCAACTGGTGGAACACCCATTATTCCAAACTTTCTTGCTCCTAGCTTATATAAGTTCTGCCAATTTAAAAAATAAAACAGTATAATATGAGTAGAAAATTTGGAGTCTATTTGGAGATGGTAGTGAGTAGTGACAAATATTAGTGAACCTCTAGTTGAATGCCGAAGGTGGCTGTTATGTTGGCGATGAAAACCTCGGGAGTTGTAGGATGATATAATACGTAGTTCATGATGTCGTTGCTTCCAACACAAATGATGTACATTGAATTTTGAATCAGAAGTTGACCTTTTGACGCGCCTAGTAATGTGGTTATGTTTCCTTGAACCGTTGCAAATTGTTGAATTTGTTCATCCATAAATATCACATTCCCCTGTATTAGCATTGTACTTTGTTATGCATAGCGCATGACATGACATGAGAGGATATAACTTATAAGTCATAACAAAACGACCTTGTACTATATTTGACATGAATTGGGTTTAACCGGACATATGTAAATAAGAAAAAAATTGCTATATTTTTAGAACCCTTGTATTGTATTCCAATTTTATATAGAAGACATTTACCACAAGATCTGTCCCAATTCCTGTAATAATAGCCGCACCCCCGGAAGCGAAGTTCACCCCCTTAAGTAAGTCGCCCGTAAGGTTGGAACTATGTGCAAGGAGTGCAAGAAATGGCGGTGGACTTTCTTCGTAGCCACCCAAAAGTTGCACTGCACATACACATAATAATTATCTTAATCTTGTTTATTTATAAATTTATAAAAATAAGGGTTAACCAAACTCTCTAGACAACCCATGCCGAACCTACCCCAAGGCTCATCACATGGAGTTAAATTGTGGAGCACAAACAAAAAAAAATTGGGCCCTAGGAATTTCCTTCTTTAACACATCTTTAACATCAGATACACATACCAAAATATTGTCCGCTTTGGAAAACCCAACAACAGTACACATGGACTTCCTAGGGGTCACCCATTATGGTATTGGAAATATCATGGAATGTGTTGCTCTCACAAATTTAAAACGCATCTTAATAGGGGATGATCTACATCCTTATAAGGAATGTCTAGTTCCCTTTTTGGGGTCGATGTGAGATTTTGTGTTGTATATGTAAATGAATAACTTACCGATAGTATCGGCAGGGTTGAAGCCATTGCTGAACCTTCCGGTTGCTATTGACCCTGGATAATCGACTCCGTAATATGGGCGATTGACTTGTGCTTTGCAGTTTTTGAGGTAGTTGTTTGTGCCAACATCTACTATTGAATCCCCCAATATGAATATGGGTCCCACGGTTTCACTCGATGCATCCTTTGTGGCTATTGTTGTCACACTGAAAAGGACTAGGCATATTTCGAGCAATAGCATGAGTTTTTGAATTGTTAATGATGTGGCCATGTTTATTTGGGTGGTTGATGAATGAAGAGGGCAAGTACTTATAGAAGTTGGATCAAGAACGTACATGGGGAAAATGTTAAACGATTATTAGAATAAACACTTAGTTTGTATACATTGCAATGATCATTACCCTAGGAAATAACCAAATATATACCATGAACTGTTTCTCGTTTTTTGGTGATATTAGAATGTACAAGGGGAAATATTAAAAGATTATTATAATAAATACTTAGTTTATACCAATTACCATGATCATCATCCTAGTTTATAACCAAAAATATACTATGAACTGTTTCTCGTTATTTGGTGATATTAACTGAGTTTGGAAATAATTGTGAAAAGATAAGTATTTGGTGTGTTTGAGTTGAGCTATATCTGTGTTTTACATGATTAGACACAAAAAACTGATGCTAACTGGTTCATGTATGTTCATATGAACTTGTACATTATTCATGTTTGGCAAGTTGTCTAATATGAGCTGGGCTAACATCGAGCTAATTTTTTATCATAATTTATTTTATTTTTTTTGCATCGGTGCAAAATTCTCCAAGAACCCCATCGACGCAGAGTATGTTCTCTCCCTCGCTCAGAGTTTCAGTTGCTTATGAATCGATGGACATTCATTGAATTTATCTTTAATTTATTTCCTCATTCCTTACTTTAAAATTAGATAGATGTTTCATGTTCAAATTGAAAGGCTGTGCAATCGATAATAGTTGTAGTGGTTTAGTTTTCAATGTTTGGTTATGTGAGACGATTGTCCTGTTCATTTCAGTGGCATTCAATGTAAGAAACGAGAGAATGAAGGGTAGTTTCGGATTAGAAAGAAAACATGTCTCGTAAGTTATAGAAACGACCCCTTAATTATATATCAAGGTTCAACTTCGGTTCAAAAGAATTCTTAAAAGGATCCATGAAATATTTTGTCATAATGGAAAGGTCGGTTATAAATCACATCATTAATACAATATTATTCAAAGATAATGCTTTTTAATTTAAAATCATCCGCATAAAATATTTTATTTTTGTTTTATGATTTCATATAGAAAAATAGATACAAGTTAAAAAATAAATACATTGCATAAACTTGTTTATAAATTTTTAATATGGCTATAAATAGAAAATATAAGATAATTACGTTGTTGAAGTGATATAATATGATGTATTTTTATATAATATGATGTATTTTTATATTGTATCATATACTTTCTAGTTTTATTTTTATCCGTCTCTTTTCGATCGAAACTATATTTTAATATTTTTGTGCTATAGTTACTCTGCTATGACATTTGTAAATCACAATGAGTAACCCATGCATTAAAGTTACCGTTTTGAGTCACTTACATAAATTCTTTTATGCTTTTTCTTTTTATTAATTGCAAATGAGTTTTCCGTTGCAATGCACCATGTTTTTACAATTTTTATCTCTCATAATTTTAAAGTTCAGTTATTAATATTTTATAAGTTGTGATTTTACTATAGTTTGAAGTTGTGCTTTAGGTCTTTTACACAATTTGTTTTAAAGTTTTTGTTTTTATTGATATTAATTTTATTATTATTATTTTTTTGATTAATTGTCATTTGTGTATTGTACCGATCAATATACACTTTCAAACTTTATTTTTGTGTGCCTCATCTTCTATTTTGTAAAAGATTTCCCCACTACAACACAATATACACTTTCAAACTTTATTTTTGTGTGCCTCATCTTCTATTTTGTAAAAGATTTCCCCACTACAACACGTGAGATGACTAAATACTAGTTTCATAAAAATTGCAAAATGTTTTTTTTTTAAAGTTTTTTTGTAGCCTCTCTTCTGAAAAATTGTGAGAAAGATGATCATTTTAGTTGAAATATGCTCAATTTGTTAGTTTTTATTTTTGGTTAGCGTCATACCAAGACATCTACTACTCCAATATGATGATGTTTGTTGAGATACTTCCGATTTCTTCTTCTTTTAGTTTCCATATTTACAAAGTATTATTTTGCTCCCTAAGCCCGGAACATATAACATACAACATATAAACTAGCATACATCGGACTTACCCCGACATCAAACTAAAGCCCGGAACACATAACACACTGCAAATAACATTCATGAATCACAAAGACATCAAGCTAACATAACTACTTCTCGGAACCGCCCCGACATCGGCCCAAGGTCTGGAAACATATAAACTGCATCGGCTATCCCCGACATACTATACTACTTAAATGGGCCAACATTGGTGCCTTAAACCCATTCCTACTGAAGGAAAACTCACCTCGTGTGACTGACTGCTGAAACTCTGAGTGAGGAATCTCTGTCTGCTGCCCCGATGACTCTCCGGCTATAAATTCCATAAGGACACTTAGTCAAAAACTGATAACTATTCTTAGGATAAAGTGACCATTTTACCCCTGACCAAAGTCAACATCCTGGTCAAATTCAACCTCCAGTTGACTTGACTCGTAGAGTTGGTCCACCAACTCGACGAGTTCTCCTTCAACCATAACATCGGGACTATCTTCAACCGACTAGCCGAGTTCATCATTGAACTCGTCGAGTTCATCTTCATCATATGAATGTGTCCAGTCTATAACTCACCGAGTTATATGAACAACTCGTCGAGTCCGTCTTCATGGGTTGGGTGATTGCCTTGGACTCGCTGAGTCTATTCATATACTCATCGAGTCCCATGATTTCCAGGTCTATAATCATGTCTATCTTGTTGAGTCCCCTTCTAGACTCAACCAGATTCCTCAGAAACAAAAACAGTTGAGGAATCAATAC